GTGTCTTTCGGCTTCTTGGGGAGTGGGTGCCATTGTGATGCGATATATTATTTGATAGCTTCACGTACAATATGGAGTTGGATGTTGGTTGTCGATGGTTGGAGCTTGAGGATAAGGGGGATTTGAAGATCCAAATCCAAGTCCGGCGATGGCGATGGGCGATGGGCGATGGGCGGGAATCTGGAGCGATATCAGGTAAGCGCGCAGACAGTCACTGTACCAGTATGCCTACGTATGGCTGAATTCAGTACCCAGAAAGAAGATTAAGAGAAAAACAGCCTGTAAGCGGTTGAGAGTAAAATATAGCCAATTTCTATCTATATTTTATCCACCAAAATTGCCAATAGAACAGAAGGCACATGAAAGAACAATTGCAGCACTACATTGATTGTGTCTCACGTGACTATCCTTATCAATTAGAGGGTCGCAACAACAAACATCACCACGACCAACAACACCCCATACCTCAAAAATGGTAAGGCACTACCACCGATGGATTATTCCTGAATGCGCCCAGCTTACAGAGTATATAGGAGAGCCCACACGAACAGCAGCAGGCCCTGCTTCTTTCGCGAATCATCAACAACATCGTATGTAGCACATTATCTCAGGGTCTTGGCACTATACTGACACCTACTAGGAGAAGCTCAATGAGTCCATAATGGTCATGAACAAAAGCCTTCAGGTATGCAACTCGTCTCCTTACTATGTTGACCTTGTGGCTAATGTAGTCTAGGAGGTCAATGTTCAGAACATGAATGTCGAGCTGGTGGCGCAGATGTTCAAGAACTACCAGTCGAATGTTCTATTCCACCTGGAGGGTAAGATATCCACCGCTAGGCTGTCGAACATCGCTAATGAGAGTAGGAACGGAGAGTCTGAAGGACCCCTCATGAATGTTGGAGGTGGTATTTTGATTTGAGGACATTGGTAACGAGGACATGAATACTTCTGGAATTTAGTGTTGCACTAGGCGAGGTCACAAAGAATGGGATTCGCATAACATCCAAGTGCTGCGATAATAGTAAACAAATTGACCACAAATTTGCCATGGAAGCTTAGAGATGTTATCAATCTGGGTAAGATCAAACCCAAAAAATTCTATATGGTCAAAGGGAGGGAGGGGAAAAAAAAAATGACAAAAAGTTATGACAAGAGTGGGATTCGAACCCACGCCACTTGCGTGACTAGGAAGTTCCGTAGAACTGTGATGGTCAGGTAAACCTGAACCTAGCGCCTTGGACCGCTCGGCCATCTTGCCTTGTTATTGTATGTCTGATTTGCTATTTTACATCACAATCCTAATCAAAAAACATGGTTCTTATGTACAACAGCCCTAACAGCCCTCCGAAAAGTATCAAGATCGCGGCCACCAGGTGAAGTAAGCTTGAGGAGGATGACTATATGCACAATCCGACTCAAGGCTAATATAATCCCATATTAAATCCCTAGACATGAATGCGCAACTCAAGCTACATAGCTCGTCCGAGGATGATAGCTAATTCTTAGTAGTAGACCTGCATCCTGATCTTCCCCTCCGTTCATACTCATATACTCCTGAGACAAGTGGTCATAGAAAGGCTGACGATGCCCCAGTATGTAGCTCTGTGTAGTAATTATGCAATCCGTCTGACTGTCTCATATCTACACGCCAAACTATAATCGGTCTAGGTGAACGGCACATAGCTTGGTCCCATTATCATTGTAGTATATACTGATCGAGATACAGATGAATACCAGAATACCACCAGTCGCATATGATTTTCGTCGAGTCTAGTGAACCAGGAGAACATTGACGTTCCAGATTATGGCAAGCTAACTTAGGACTCGGCTGTTCAGTAGACAATGGCACGGGCACTGGCAGATAGCTCGGTACCTAATAAGAGTGATCTTGTCTTACCCGACGGAAACTTGTAGTCAATCAACTATACTCTCTATGAGACATCTACCCAAGATTGGACCTGTGGTAGAGATATGCATGGGGCACTGATCTATTCAACAGACGGTTTGAAGGAGTGAATACTATCCTAGTATCTACCTCGCTGGCAGGAGCTCCTTTGAATGACTTGGACTACTTACATCGGTATGATTGATCCTATTAACCAGGTTAATTGAGTTGCCATACTTACAAAAAAAAGAAGTAGATTAATACAAAAATAAAATAAGATGCGCTAATGAGTGACAAGTAATCGTTGGCATGTATGTACTGCGGTACCATACATCCGGAAGCGATGCTATCCCGCCCCACTATATCCTCTCAGTTCCATATTTTCACACATCCCGATCCACTTTCAGAAACCAAAAGCATGTTCAATATTTCCAAAAAGAAATGACAAGAGTGGGATTCGAACCCACGCCACTTGCGTGACTAGGAAGCTCCGGAGAACTGTGATGGTCAGGTAAACCTGAACCTAGCGCCTTGGACCGCTCGGCCATCTTGCCTGTTGATATAGTGAAGGTTGAATTTAGTGTAATGTCAGCCTAGGCGGCTTCTATGCAACAACCTGCAGCTGTGGGTATGCATGTCAACTTTATCTACAGCTTAAATGCTCTTCATAATATGCCCATCGTCTCTACATGACTGTGCACATGGTAGGAGGAGTGAGCCTATGGAGTCTCACCTAATAACTTGCTTCGTTCATGTTGCAATTTATTTCTTCCTATCTTGTGTACGCAAGATACTGATGGGTAAAACACTTGTTTTTGTATTGTGGCCTATCAATATATATACTCTGCTGTGTATGTGTTTTGTTCAATATCAACACCACCAAGTTCTGCATAGAAAAGTTATATATGTCAGAACAACGAATAAAACCAGTTAGCATGTTATTTGATGGCAGGGTACTCCCATGTAGTTTGTATTTTGATTTCCAAATTATTTTTTTCGCAACATCTCACAGCTTTCGGAATCATCGAAATTTTAGACAGTGAAGCATGCAACCGGGCGACATGTCAGTTAACCTGCATTGTTCTTCTATGGAAGTCGATATTTGGACTCTTCCTGCCTCAAAGATTTTGCAGTCATCCGCAATATCTTCATGGTCGTCAGAATCATTGAAATTAAGTGATACTTTGACCATTTTATCAGCGCCCCCCTCCGGGGCAAGCCATGAGTCCGAGGCCTTCACTGATAGCACCGTGTTGTCCCTGAAGCTAATCCAGATGACCTGACCTCATTTCTTCATTATAATGATCACTTTCAGCGCACCACCATGCATCCTGACCATCAAAATCATATCTATTCAACCCACTGAAGCCCGATAAACACCTACATGTGCTTGTCACATCTGGGTATCCCAGCAGGCGAGTGACTTGTCAGTATTGGTCTAGATAATGAAGGGTTTCACGTCATTTGTATCCCTGCAGGCGGACGAGTTTCTCGCAGCAGGCCTACGCACCGAGAATATGATATAGGAAGTCTCTATGGCAGGTTCGGAGCCACACGGCCATGGTGGTCCTGCAGACTATTGGTCCCATATAGACCAATACTAAACACAGCGTCTAACACTAGACTCGGAAGATAAAAGTCTGACAGTCTCAACATGTCTGCCCATAAGGATTTCACTGAAAGCACCGCAGAGCTCCCTGCCATGGGCAATTGATCAAGATCCATGAGAGTGTATGGAAAATATTGCAACCAGACATCAAGGTGGTGAATTAATGACTCCTTTTTGAACACTCTGCAGGATGGAGACAGGGAAAATCCCTCAAAATCTCCACTCTCAGGCAGGCTTGCCACACCACATGCTCGAGACAACCAGGAACAATGACCCGGGGACTTCTATACATCACAAGAGAACCGAAGTGGCCCGGAATGCAATACCCCACCCACAATCAGACAACAATATCTTCCGTGTCGATAGTCCGAAGTCCTTCTACAGCATGTATGGGGGAATAGTTGGGCTTATTTGCCAACAATACCAGCTCTATGCTCGACAGCGTGCTGTGATCAAGCCCACAAATTCCATGGGATCCACGAACTCGAACTATATATACCACGCAGAGTGATAGCAGGGCCCCTGGAAATCTACAAAACCCCCGAATGGTAATGCAGGAAGGGAAGATGAACGAACAAAACCACTTATTGGTACTTAGCCAGACGAGGAGCAGCATGTTCCTATCACCACCATAAAAGGGTGTAGCCGCCCGTCCAATTCCTCGTCTGCAAGATGCTGTCCCTCGCGGCATTGCATACAATGACCATCGCTGCCGTGCTGGATGTGGGTTGTCTGGTCTTGAACGTGCCATCCCAAGCCCGCTGACATACCCAGACCAACTGGATCTTGTACTACACGCAGCTTAAAGCCTGACGAGCTAGAGCTGGAGCAGGGTTTAGCAAAAGCCGAGTACAGCAATACGTGGATATGCCCATCGGGCCCCTTCTAATGTGCATTTAGGTAATGCTATACAAAGATGCCCGCTCATTGTCAGCAGATACTGGGATCAACTTCGGGATATCCAAGACCAAGATAAGAGAAGAGACATGCAGGGTCTCAGTGACCTGAGCCCCAGAGAACGTAACTACTGTTTTGAGAAGCGTCATCACTGGAACCCAGCCCATTAAAAACGATTCAAAGTGTTGGATCCACTGGATAGTTTGTACTATCAACTGTGACAGTAGAAAAACACATAGCAAAACCTCAGATTACAATTTCGCAAATTCCCACTACCGTGCACAACTATCCACAACAAATGTGGTAACGGTTGGTAATACTCCGCTACCCCATAATTACCTATAACCAGACAACTACACAATCTTGAAACCAGCTTCTTGAAACCCTTTTGAATCAATCCAACCCTTCGGGCCTGTACGTAACCAACTATACAAGGTATTGTACAGAATGTTCTATCTCGAAAGACTATCGAGTCGTCGAGGGGAAAGAACCAGAAACAGGGTTAAAGATAATAACAAAGAAAAAAAAGAGATAAGAATAAGGGAGACAGCAAGAGAGACAGGGAGATAGATTAGAGAAAGAAAAAGGAAGAAAAATAAAAAGATATGACAAGAGTGGGATTCGAACCCACGCCACTTGCGTGACTAGGAAGTTCCGGAGAACTGTGATGGTCAGGTAAACCTGAACCTAGCGCCTTGGACCGCTCGGCCATCTTGCCGTTGTTGAAGAAACTGTTTTGCTAAATGTTTTAGGACCGACGAAGCAGCGGAGCTTGGCACATCAACAAGCCACCGGCGGAAGTTGCCTCCTGCGCTTTGCGGCTTTCAAAAGCTGGTTGCGCATCATAACTTTCAGTCCACCGCCTCCCCTTTCTCTTGCGTGTTTTGGCTGCTTTGGCTCGGAATTCCCTCCGTCTACAATAACTTTGTCTTCTGTCATCCAACTTATTGCTTGCGACAACCTGCAATGCTGTGATCCGCTCTCGCAGAAGCTCCTGAGTTGCTAGTCATATCGAACGCCCTCCGCCATGACTATCAATTCGGTGCAGACGCTCTTCCCCGGTCGCCATTCGATCAATTCCACCGAGAAGAACGCCGCGAAGCCACCTCCAAAGACCTACCCAGTACGAGAACCTCCTTTCAAAGGGTATCTCCCCCCGCAAGCCGATGGGTTCGAGCGAAGCAGATCGAACCCCGACTCCAACGCCATAGTCATTGACAATGGTAAGTGCATATCCTCTCGAACAAGGGTTTATCTCCAACTGACATTCCCTGCCCATAAGGCTCGAGTCTCGTGAAAGCCGGATGGTCGTTTGACAAGGACCCCCGTTTCGTCATTCCCCCGGTTATGAGTCGGTACCGCGACCGGAAGCTCAACAAGGCGTGTCAGTTCATCGGATATGACGCCTACGTCGATGCTACAACGCGGGGTCAATTGCGTTACGCCTTTGACCCTGGCACGAGTGTGGTGGGAAATTGGGATGTCATGGAAGGGGTGCTTGATTATCTATTTCTCAAGCTGGGGGTGGATGGGGCAGATGGAGGGGTTGACCGGCCCATTGTGATGACTGAACCAATCGCAAACTTAAATTACCCGCGGCGAAGTAGGTTGCATTCTGTTTGCGATGGGAATTATTTGCTAATATGCCTAGTGATGAACGAAATCCTGTTCGAATGCTACTCCGCGCCTTCCGTTGCCTACGGAATCGATTCGCTATTCTCCTACCGGTACAATCGCGGGACGGACGGATTGATTGTTTCGTCGTCGCATACATCGACTCATGTTATTCCCGTTCTCAACAACAAGGCCCTGTTGTCGAACTGCTCGCGGCTCAACTGGGGTGGAATGAATGCGTCCGAATACCTGCTGAAGCTGATGAAGCTCAAATACCCGACGTTCCCCGCCAGACTTACCGAAAACCAGATGGAGGGGCTCGTCCGAGAGCACTGCTACGTATCCACGGACTACGACACCGAGCTCAGCCACTACCTCGACTGGACAGGACTCGAAGACCGCGATCACGTCATCCAATACCCGTATACTGAACATGTGGTGCCGGAAAAGACCGAGGAGGAACTTGCGCGCATTGCGGAGAGAAAGAAGGAGAGTGGGCGCCGGCTGCAGGAACAGGCCGCGAAGATGCGACTGGAAAAACTTATGAAAAAGGAGCAGGAGTTGGAATACTGGAAAGACCTCCAGCGGGGTCTCCAGTCGGAGACTAAGAAAGAGGCGAAGCGGATTTTGGACGCAGAGGATCTGAAAGACGAAGCACACCTCGACCGGCTCATCCGGGACCTTGAAAGGTCCATTAAACGGTCCAGAAACCGAGATCTCGGCATTGAGGAGAACGAAGAGCCCCAGGAGGAGATGTCGTTCCCCATGTTGGACATTCCCGACGAGGAATTGGACGAGGCCGGCTTGAAAGAGAAGCGCCACCAACGACTCATGAAGTCCAACGTCGAGGCGCGGCAACGCGCGAAGGCCGAAAAGGAGCGAGAGAAGGCCCGCCAGGAGGAAGAAGAGCGCCTTGACCGGGAGAAGAGGGAGAATAATTTCGAGGAGTGGATCGAGGAGAGAAGGGTGGCTCGACAGGTAAGGACCCTCATCTTCCCGACAACATTAGACACGAACGGGTTCTAACCGTGCAATAGAATATTCTGCAGAAGATCAAGGAGCGTGACAGGATGAAGGCGGATCTGGGTAACCGGAAATCCCTCGCCAGCCAGATGCGGATGAAAACGCTAGCCAACCTCGCCGCAGACGGGCCCAAGAAACGCCGAAGAGGCGGCGATGATGACAACTTCGGCGCGAACGATGAAGACTGGGGCGTGTACCGTACCGTAGCCACCGGCGACCAGAGCGACGACGAAGAAGAGGAAGACCTCGGTGCCGTGCTTGAAAACGTCGAGAAGGAGCTTCTGGAGCACGATCCCGAATTCACAGAGAACCACACGCTCGCCGCGCAGTCCGACTGGACCAAGAGTCTGATCCACGTCTTCCTCCGTGGTCCCTGGCCATTCGACCCGGAGAGCCAGCGCGAGGCCCATCAGCTCCATCTCAACGTCGAGCGCATCCGCGTGCCGGAGGTGGTGTTCAAGCCCTCTATCGCGGGCGTGGACCAATCGGGCCTCGTGGAGATAGCCGCCGACATCGTCAACCAGCGTTTCGGCAATCCCGACGACCAGGCAAAACTGCTCCGCGACGTCTTTTTCACCGGCGGCAATACCCTTTTCAAGAACTTCGACGAACGATTCCGGAACGACTTCCGCGGTCTCCTGCCCATCGACGCCGAGCTGTCCGTGCGCCGCGCTGCCGACCCCGTCCTCGATGCATGGAAGGGAGCCGCGCAGTGGGCGTCTGGGCCGGAGCTGGCTCAGTCGTCCATCTCGCGACAGGAGTATATGGAGAAGGGTAGCGAATATTTGAAGGTATGGCCTATCCCTACGTGCTTTCTTTACTTACATCTCGTGCTAACATTATGCAGGAACATGATCTGGGAAATGCTACCTCGTGGTGAACGATGTTCTTGGTTTAGGATTGGTAACCACGTAAGCCTAGACAGTCGTACTGTCATGGTCGTTGATTTTTCTACCGAATGCGAGCGTCCTTGTCGGTGCGAAGGCGGGTGAGTCAGGGCGTCGGGCGTCTGGAAAAGGGTCTCGTTTGTTATATCGTGAGTATCGCGTTTACGATTAGATATCTTAGCCTATCTTACTATTACATCAACTACCACTTTGGATGTAGCGCTTTGATTGTACCCATAGTCCATTTTTATCTTCTACAAAAAGAGTCAATTTCAGCCTCCCGACCTTCATCTATCCAAGAGTTTGATAAGCCTCAAACTATAGACACGAACACCAATGGTATATATCCATAAACACATAGTCTATATTATAAGACCCCAACCTCCCTCCAACCAAAACCAAAAACCAAGACGCCACTCACATGTATCCAAATCTTCATTTTCTTAAAACAAACATACTGGACCGCCAAGCAAGCGAGCAACCCATTTAGTCCGTGGGGCAGTCGTGATACCAACAGGACCAGCCAACAAAATTCAAAATTGGAAGGTTTGGGATAAGAAAGGTGGTAAGAATGTCATTGTGGACTCGGGATGCTCGGATGGGGGTGAGTGGGGTTCTTTGTTTTCGTGGTCTTGTCTGTGAGAGGTGACGAGGGATGAAATCATATTAAGCTAATTGGTCATGGTTTGTCTGTGTTTATTGTTGGTTGGGTTGATTTGTTCTTGGGTTTATGTTGATATTGGTTTTGTTTTTGTTATAGGAGGTTAGCTATGGGTTGAAGGGTTAGAGAATGGCTGTGGGTTAATTCTGCTGGTTATGATTGAGAAACATCATTGAATATTGAGTTTGTATTTTGCTATATACAATCGTTCTTGTAACTTTCGAGTAGAGATAGAAAACTAATTAGTCGATCACATTCTGTTGTGAAGCTTTAGGGTTAGCTTTGATTTGTGGCAGCCACCAACTATAGCTATAGTATAGTATAGCACTACTATTCAAACAATATCCAGGAATGATCGCCATTCAAATGATAATCATTGGCTAAGTTTTAGTGCACGCGTGAGCAGAACTGGCGTGGTCAAACCATGGATTGTCCATGATTATCTGGTCTTTAATTCATCAGATAAACTTTGATAGACATCAGAGACTGAGTCAGTGACGCCTTCGAACCCTATCTCCACGTTTTTCTTCATTGTTCTTTTCATCATCCTTGGGAACCAGCACGTAAATGTTGATTCCACTCCGAACAAAGTAATTGAGATTGCCTTTGAAAATGGCAGGATCCATACCATCATAGCTGAATGATGTAAAGATTGGTTCTGTCAGACTCACCCGTGGGATGGATGAGTGGCCTCGACCAGCGCATCTGTCTGCCCACGGCTTCCGCAGCATGCCGAACGGATCATGCAACTCACCAATCAGCATGTTGATCGTGTAGTTCGGGGGGTGATTGATTGTATCTTCTCTTTCTTGTTCATTTTCTTTGTCTTTAAATTTCTATTGTCTGATCGTACCTCTTATCTCCTACTTAATATCACCCTCTCGAGTCAATTGTGCATATAGCACCGAGAACACCCCTCTTTTAAACCCCAAGAGGAAACAGATCCCTATCATCTGATCACCCAATCAATCAATCATGAGATATCTGAATATCTGGATACCTGGTAACCCGTGGGTCAATTCTGAACTTAGACCGAGCCAGCCAGCCTTATGTCGGCACCAAACCGACTTCAACCTTCCATGACGTATCCGGGGAACAAAAAGAAGTCACTAGAAGTAGATTCATGCACACCACCCAGTAGGGAATTGAATTGATTTCATGCCATTGATCATCCCGTCCAACCCCTCTGACGTAAAAGGCAGACGGCAAAATCGGCCACATCCATACTGCTATATAAACCCTAACCTTGTCGCAGCAAACTTTCTGCGCTTACACTGTCTTCCTTCCTCTTGTTTCGTTTTTGGAACGGCATAACACCACGCTGACGCCTCATAATTTTCAATAAATTATACATAAAGGAATTGAAAGCAAGAAAGAAAAACAGCCACCATGCTCCCCAGCTCTCTCACCAAGCCCTTCCAGCTCCTCTGCCGGTTTATGCAGTGGTCCAGCGCGGCCATCGTGCTGGGCCTGACGTCCTACTATATCCATAAGGGGCCGAGGGGCTTGCTCTTGAAATATGTTGAGGTTATT